ATACGGAAGGGAAAAAAGGAAAAAGTTGTCATAAATGTTGGAACACTTCTTGAACGGTGATTCAAAGTAGACGGGCCGCAGGCTGCAATCGTTTGAAAAGTTGTCATCGCGAAAAGCAACAGATGCTTCTTGCATGGTAAGAAAAAAAAAACACTTTTTGCGTGGAAAGCGGTGTGATTGCTGCCAACACAGGTAGATACGCGCGCACAAAAACGCACTCTATCTATCTATCTATCTATCTATCTATCTATGTCAGTATTTATTACTATCTATCTATCTATCTATCTATCTATCTATCTATCTATCTATCTATCTATCTATCTCTCTCGGTGTTTATTAGTATCTATCTATCTATCTATCTATCTATCTATCTATCTATCTATCTATGTCAGTGTTTATTAGTATCTATCTATCTATCTATCTATCTATCTATCTATCTATCTATCTATCTATCTATCTATCTATCTCAGTTTATTAGTATCTATCTATCTATCTATCTATCTATCTATCTATCTCAGTGTTTTTATTATCTATCTATCTATCTATCTATCTATATCTATCTATCTATCTCAGTGTTTATTAGTATCTATCTATCTAGCTATCTATCTATCTATCTATCTATCTATTTATTTCAGTATCTATCTATCTATCTATCTCAGTGTTTATTCTCTCTCTATCTCTCTCTCTCTCTCTATATATATATATATATATATATATATATATATATATATGCCGAGTGTAACAGGAAAATTGTCCATATCGTGTAGCAGCATGGGATAATTGTCCATTCCACAAAATGTTTAATATCTAAAAAAACGCTAAATATTGAGTTTCTTTCTTCTAGGTTTTCAGAGAAGACATTTAGATATCTTGTCGTCATTTGTCTCAAGAATCACTGCAAAACATTTTGGGTTATTCTACTAGAAATAGAAAGGTTTTAATTCGTTTAGTGCCAGCTCCACTATGCTTTCCCATCTGAGAAATTTTGAGAGGAAAAAAAAATCATTCAGGCTATCAGTAATAATACCAACATTCATACTGTGGCTTCTTGAAAGTTTATTCAAGAGCCATCAAGAGAAAGGTGAATAAATTTAAAAAAAGAGAGAGCAGTAGAAAGGAAAACGGGACCAGGAGATCACAACCGCAAGAAGGATCATCATTTCTACTTCCAACTGAAGAGATTCTTATTATTCAAAGGAGAGTCCAATATTATAAAAACCTCGAAGAACACCAGTAAAATATCTTTAATGGGATCGTCTGTGTTTGCTCACTGGCGATCTATGTTCAAAATCAAGTGTCGGCAGCGACACTTTATTCCTATATAACAGATTATTCGTATATAAGAGTCCTATAAAGTTTTGCTAATCGTCTAGTTAATAACCCACCTCGATCTTCTGAACAGGAGTAGGGGTCTTTCTCATATTTTCTGTTTATAATTGGGGTTCTGGTTCCTTCTAAAAAAATTTTTCATTGTCTTTCACACTAAGTAGCCATTTGATATAAAAATCCAACCAAATACAAAATTATTGTAAAATTTCGCTACATTTTCGCCGAGCTCTATAGACATTCTACACACACACATATACACTTAGATTGATTAAAAAGAAGTTACCGTCCAGTGAATATAGATATTTTCTGAATGTTAGTGATTAAGCGCTTTCAAGCAGGTTGTCAATTAAAAACGACAGCCATCAATAAGCAGCGTAAGGATCATACACCCTTGTCCAAATTAATTGAAACAAAACAAATAATTCCTTTATTTTTTACTCTTTTTTTTTCGTATTTTTCCAATGAAACATGACCCATTGCACATGTTAGTACTTCGTATGTAGATTCCACGAAGTCGTTCCTTGCAGATTAACCACAGATCGACGATTGGATTTAACTCAGGAGAGTTTCCGGTCCAGTCTATAGTACTTTGATTTGCTCACTGGTAAGGCTTCCCAGTGTGTTCGTGAAGCGTTACAAATTTTCGTACGCTTCCTTGGAATAACGTCCATCGCAGACACTGACCGTAGTACAACTAATCGACAGTCGAGACAGTAGTGTCTGGGTTTGATGAAAATCTGATCTAATCACGGATGACACAATATTTCTCAAGCCAAATAAATTTCATCATACACCCCGAGTACAGATTTTCTGGGCATTGTCAAGATTCGAGATTATGTAGGCGTGCGCGACACTTCATTGGGTAAATGCTTTGTTTGGGATTGAATGCATTTAAGACCGCTGCACAAACTGTCTATTTTGGGAATTATTAACGCTACTCATATATCTTGAAATATTCTATATATTCTATATTACATCTGTAAAAACATGTTTTAAATTTAAAAGTATTTTGTGTATACGCGTATAATTAATGAATATTTTATTTTGTGTTGATGGACATCGCTTGACAGGAAGATGTGCAAAGTAAACATATTGAAGTATTTCTTTCTTAGTATTTACATATAATACCCCAGAAATGCCATGGTTACCTTCGAAGTTTGGCTTTCAGGTTTACTAAGATATATATATATATATATATATATATATATATATATATATATATATATATATATATATATATATTATTTCGGTTATTTTCGGAGGAAGTGTGGGTTTGTAAACTGACTATTACATCTAATAATCCAAGACTCTACAGTAAATCGAATCGAGTTCTCTCAGTCACTGTGTGTTTATCTAAAAGCTGGCCACTTGTATTCAAGAATACCAGTCTACTAGCCAATCCCTATTGCAGACGCTTGCTCATGGGGCATTTGCGTTTATTCAGCACCCACCTGTGGTTTATACATCAACTATGCTGAACAGACCTTAGTTACAGTTTCTGAGAAAGAGCCTGTTATCTAGCGTGATCATCAATTTGAACAAGGCCAGCACGCTCGAGCCTTCGGTCACGATGACTTATGACTTTGTGTTAGCACGGCTATTGACGGACCCCAAGGGTTCCGTCTACAGTTTCACTCAGAAGGCGTGGTATGGTTTTTCAGGCACTTTCCAAAGGTGCCGCGAGTTGGGATCGACCTCTCCAGTCCAATAACATCAGAAAGTCTCCTTCCTGACAAATCGACCATAGTGAGATTCAAGCCCAGGTCTCATGGTCAGAATGTTCTAACCACTAGGCCACATGCCCATATATACAATAATAATAATAATTTTATAGAAGAATAATAAAATATAAAAATACAACTTTTTATATGAATGTTGCTTGTGTTGAGAAAAACGATTGTAGTGTTAATCAACGCGACAAAATGAATGAAATACCATCAGCCTGAATGGAATTCAACTGAAACCTGAAGTAATATGATGTCGATCGTACTCATCTTAAAATTTTAGGTTAGATGATCAGTTAGTAATGTTTGGTTTGTTTTACGGCATATCAACACCTCAATGGGTTATTTAATACCGACACGATTTTTTTTGTTGGTAATTTTTTTTTCAAAAATGTATTGCTGGTATTAAAATCTATTTTCATACGTTCATAGCTTTTTGACACCAGTTTGGGGGTTAACTATTTGTCGACCCCTGATCAGGGTGGTGCTGGGAACAACATCGATTAAGAAGTGGTTCCTCGCTCCTCAAAATCTACTGATCAGAGGCCTTGCTGCCAGATGTAGTTTATCGTCTTACCCAGGACGTGGATGTAGTTTATCATCATAACCAGGACGCCTTCCTGGGGGTTAGGGGTCTTACCTTTCTGTAGAGGCACAGTAGGCGTATTCTGAGACCCCAGCTGACAGATCGGTGATCAGTTATAAAGAGCAATTAATCAAATAGTTTAGTATAAATCTTATTAAAAATTCTGTCATTTTGTTCAATTTCCCTGGGTGGGACGTTAACAGTTTGCATATGTAAACTACCTTCATGCGTTTTAAGTGACGATGGATTCTGATTATTTTTTTCAGAACCTTAAGGTGTTCGTTGATATTACATCGTTCTTGAAGAAGACATACTTTCGAAATAATGTTAAACAATGTGTCTTTTATTTAATTTCTCTTCTTAATTATTATTATTATTATTATTGTTATTTTTATTTCTTTTGATTTCTGGGTTCATTTCTTTCCGTGGCCCAGGGACCTAAGGTTAGAAATGGCGTCATGACACTTTCCACCGACAAAAAAAAAAAAAAATTAAATTACATAGATAAAGCAATTCGTAAGGTGTGGGCTGTACTTGTCAGAACAATTTTTTGTATCTCCTTGAGGCATGGACTTCCAGGAATCCCTTCAATTAGTCTACTGCAATCTTTTCCAACCAGTCCTAGGGCTCCAACTACAACAGGGATTATTGATGTTCCCATATGCCACATTTTCGAGATTTCTATTTCAAGGTCCTTGTACTTTGACAACTTTTTGAATATCTTCAAAGATACATTGCAGTCAGCAGGGACTGCCATATCAATAAGGAGGCACCGTTTTTGTTTGTGGTCTTGGCCTTGATTTTTCTGTCAGTGTGTATTGTGTAGTCCCATAGAATTGTAACAGGTCTTATCACCGTAACCGGGTCTGGGTGGTGTTCATACCAGTTTCTTTCAGTTTTCTTCCCGTAGAAGTTGCAGATTTTCCAGTGCAGATATTGGCCCACTATGTCATGTCGGGTTTTATATTCAGTGGGTGCCAACACCGTGCAACCTGATACAAGATGATCAATCGTTTCTGGATATTTATCACAGAATCTGCATTTTGGGCTGACACAATATTTTAGTATATGTGCTTGATAATTCCTAGTTAGCAAGCATTGGTCCTGCACAGACCGTTTCGATCAAGATACGCTCTGGCCAAATTTTAAAAAATAATTTTGGTTGATTTTTGCGACAAATATTTATGAATATAATTTGACTCATTTCGATTTATTTGCATTGTTGTTCTTGATTGTTATCGATGTTATTAATCGATCTCTTCATTACTATATGAAGTGATTGAGATAGGCAATAAACAGAGATAGATAAAAATATAGACAGATAACGAATAGACTGAGATAGGGAAAAAGAGGGGAACATGCTAAAATTGATAGATAGAATGAATGGACTGAGATAGATAGATAGATATGAATAGACTCACAGAGACAATATATGAATGGACTGAGATAGATAGATAGATAGATAGATAGATAGATAGATAGATAGATATGAATAGACTCACAGAGACAATATATGAATGGACTGAGATAGATAGATAGATAGATAGATAGATAGATAGATGAATAGACTCACAGAGACAATATATGAATGGACTGAGATAAATATGAAGAGATTCATATATATATATATATATATATATATATATATATATATATATAGAGAGAGAGATAGAGAGAGAGAAAGAGAGAGAGAGAAACATACTTAGATAAAAATGAACATAGATATGAATGGACTGAAATAAATAGACAATGAACTGACTCAGATAGACAGATATGAATGAACAGAGATAGATAGATAGATAGATAGATAGATAGATAGATAGATAGTATCGGGCAGCTACAGATGCTGAGTCAAGCAGTGGGAAAAGATCAATGGTTATATATCATCTGACTGGGATGTATATATATATATATATATATATATATATATAAAGCTTTCTCCGTGTTTAATGTGAGATTTTCTGAGGGTGCCTTAGGAAGTTGAATATAGAGAAAGAACTGAAGAGTAAATAAAAAAAGAATAGTGTGTAGATAAATAGGTAAGTAGATAGGCAGGATCAAAAAGAAAATATCAAAGCGTTGGCTTCGAGCGTCGGTTCTCTTCAGAGAAACGTTTCCAAAGAGTCGAAGTCTTGTACGGAGGTTGACCCATGATGTACAATTTCGAATGAAACTGCATGCACGATCCTCACTACTACGATCTGCAAGTCGATAAAATACCAGTGATCATTAGGGGTGGGGGGGAAGTGGGGAAGGCTTTGGAAGAGAGACGACCGGAAACAGGGATATGGACGTTGAGATAGCAAAAGGGATGAAAAGAGGAAAGAAAGAGAAAAGAAGAGAGAGAGAGAGAGAGAGAGAGAGGGGGGATATAGAGGTTGAAAAGGAGAGAGAGAGAGAGAGAGGGAGATTGTGCCTAAAGAGAGAGTGGGAGAGTGAGGGAGGAGAGAGAGTAGCCATAGAGAACTAAAAGAGATAAGAGAAATTGAATGTGACGTATGGACTCGAGGGGGTTGAGTGAAAGTGGGAAAGGTGCGTGAGAAGGGATATATATCAGAGAGGAGGCGAGAGTGATGAGAGAGTATTAGAGAATGTGGTAAAAGGAAGGAAAGACGAGAAAAATTGAAAGAGAGAGGGGGGAGGTATAGGTTTAAAAAGAGAGGGTGAGGGCAGAGAGAGAGAAAGAGAGAGAGAGAGGGTAAAATTGAAGTGGAGATGTGAAATATACAAGAGAAATAAAAAGTCGTATGAAAGCGTGAGAGAATTGAGCAAAAATGAGACGGAGAGAAAAGATAAAAAAAATTAAGAAGGAATATGGGTGTGAGAGAGATTGGAGAGAAAGTGGCAAGTAAGAATTTGAAAAAGTGGTATATGTGAGTATGCGTGTGAGTGAGAGAGAAAGAATGAGAGAATGAGAGAAGAGAGAGAGAGAGAGAGAGAGAGAGAGAGAGAGATGAAAGCATATATGTATATATACAAGCACGTTCCAAAGGTTGGAAATATACATATAAGAGAAATCACGCAAGTTGAATATACCTACTAAAAATGGTCTCTTGAACTTGATCTTGAAAAATGATCTCTTTGTGGAAATGTTAGTTAAACCCTTCCTCCTTTCTCTTTAATGTCATTAAACTCATCTGTGGAGTATCGAGCCACAGTCTCATCATGCTAAGTTTTGTTGCAAGTAGGGTTTTGTTAGCCCTTAGTCCAACCATTTTTGAGTTCAGAGTTGCCCTTTTCGTAGAGTACACCCAGTGTAGCTTACAGTGGGTTATGATAAGTTTTTAGCTGCCCTTGAATAAAGCAATTTTAGCTTGTGTAATAACGTCTCTTCTTTTTTTTTCAGACAATACCGTATTAGTATCAAGCTACTCAAATCTATAATGAACGATAAGTGACTTATATTTTGCAATGACAGTTCGTGGAAGTAAGGAAATTAGTGAATTTCAACAAGGGCAAATAATAGGATGGCATCAGTGTGGCAAGTCAAATAGAAAAATAACTAAGTTTTTCCAGTTTAATCATCAAATGGTTAATAATATTTCAAGAAATTTAATGAAGAAGGCCATTGTCGTGTGGAACAACGTTCAAGAAGACCAAGCATCGTGTCTGAGCGAACGAAAAGGGCACTGAATAGGGAAGTCATCAGAAACTGTCGTCAGTCAAAGATGTCACTAACAGCATGGAAATATCGCCATATGCGGTGAGAAAGACTCTGAAAGAGTTAGGCTATCAAAGGAGAGTTGCAAGAAAAAAGCCTTTGATTCCCGAGGTTAACAGGAACAGGCGTATGGACTGGGCGAGAGAATTCGAGGGGAAAGATTATAAATTTTGGCAGTCTATAATTTGGTCAAATGAAAGTAAATTCTGCCAGTATTCGAAATCGTGACAGGTTTATGTTTGGAGAAATCAGAATGAGACTTGGAACACTGAATGTTTGGAGGCGACCGTAAAACATGGAGGGATTAGAGTAATGGTGTGGAGTGCTCTCTGATTTGAAGGAAAATCTGAGCTGATTCTTGCTGAATGGTCCAAAATACTGTCAAATATTAGAGAAAGGAGTACTCTCATTTGAAACCAATCAGACTGACAAAAATGTCTACCTTTTTCAAGAAGATGGAGCTCCATGTCATACGAGCCAAGTAGCAAAGGCCTGGAAGTAATCGCAAGGAATCAAGTCAGTGCCATGGGTAGCCCAAAGTCCAATAGAGCACATTTGGGAGAATCTTGACCGAAAACTTTTCGAAAGCGTGCAACTAAAATCCCGTCACTGGCAACCCTTAATGAAACATTGCTAAAGGTCTGGCAAAATATGGGTTAGACGATTGTTGATAACTTGATCAAATCCATAAAAAATCGAATACAAGCACTGAAACTAGCAAATGGAGGACTTAATCTATACTAGTTCCAAATACTGTTTATTTATGTTGAGTAGGGATTACGTAATTAAATTTTGAAATTGGATCTAGTTTATTTTTCCTGTCTAAAAACTTTTCTTTATGCCACTAAACTATCATTTTGGTGCAAAAGTAATACCCGATTTTTGAGAAGATGATTTTAGATAGTATTTATAAAATTTGTGCTTCTCGTTATAGTTAAGGAATGTCACAATACGTATTTTATACCTTTCTCTTTCAGATTATAAAAATATTTTTCATTATCTTCCCAAATATCCGCACCCATGTTCGTCCCATCTAAAGATCGCATTCGACATATCTTACTATATGAGTTTCATAAAGGTGCCAATGCAAGTGCAGCAAAATCTATTCAGAGCGCTTATGGAGATGATGCAACGAATGAAATAAGTTGCAGGAGGTGGTTTTCCTGTTTTCTTAGTAGAGATTTCAATTTGAAAAACGAGCAAAGAAAAAAAAATGATCTCGAAGAGTTGGAACCTGTTGTCACAGACAATCCCACCATTACCTCTAGGGAACTTGCAAAAAAATTAATGCAACCGTGACACACCAATTAAAAAGAATCGGAAAGGTTTCAGTGGTCGAGAAATAAGTCCCACACGAACTGTCTTCACAGAATCTGCAGTAGAGTATTTCTTGTGATTCATTGCTTTCACGACACCGACAGGCCTCATTTTTATATAGGCTTGTGTCAGGTGATGAGAAGTGGATCCTTTACGATAATGTTAAACGCCGCCGATCGTGGATCATTCGAGGAGGAAGATCAGTTCAAAAATCAAGAGGAGAACTTCATCCAAACAAGATCATGTTGAGTGTATGTTGTGATATTGAAGGAATTTTACATGGCGAACTATTAAACAACAATCAAACAATTACAGCTAATCTGTACTGTGATCAAATCCGTCGTTTAAAAACAGCATTGAACCAAAAGCGACTTCCCTTAGTAAACAGAAAGGGTGTAATCATCCATCACGAAAATACTCGTCCTCACACAGCTCAGCTGACTAAAAATCTTTTAGAAGAGCTTGGTTAGGAAATATTGCTTCATCCACCTCCTTCTGATTATCACCTGTTTCGGGACTACAGAATCATTTGGATGGTCTTAGTTTGACATCAAGAGAAGAGGTTGAAAATGAGTTGGATTCATATTTTGCTTCAAAACCAAAGGAACTTTATAGGCGTGGCATTTATAAGCTTGTTGACAAATGGAATGGCGTTCTAGAAAGCAAGAAGGGGTTATGTTAACGAATAAATATTTTTATAATCATGGGCTTTTTTCATTTTTAACATAACCTTGAAATAGGACATTATTTTTGCGCCAAGCTGATATTTAATATATAGAGAGAAGAGATGCATTAATAATTTCCCTTTGTGTGAAAGTGAATGCAGTGAACACGGCCGGAATTTGAACTTGTGTTGTATACCGTACAGTAATGGATATGTCCCAATCGTCATAAATACGTCGGCCACTATTGTAAGTGGGGGGGGTAATATACTGTCTAAGTAGTCCACCACTAGAAGTGGTTTACCTACTTCACGCCGCTGGCGAGTATTGTATTTTGTTGATGTTATGAAGATTAAAATTTCATTTCCAAACTCCGTTTTGGTTATTCCTCATTCAGTAACCTTTTCTAGGTTATAACAATTTGGTAAGCCGATTCCACTTCAAATATTCAGTACTTACGGTGCTCAAAAGCGATTGCACATACTTGTGGGCGGTAAATTATACTCCACCCTGCAACACATATCTTGCAAACAAAACATTGATAGCCTCTCACTACTCTATCATGATTACTATGGCAGATGTTTAGATGAGTTACGTGTTACGGTTTTTTGTGTATATACTACATATAACTAGTGAGCGAGTCAAAATGACTTATTTCCCTTTATAGTCGACCAATAGAATGTTGACCAATCAGAAGCCGCACAACACTGTATCCGTCGTGTATAAAGGCGGCCATCTTTCTCACCGGAAGGACCAGATGCAACTTGTCCGGCGAACATGACAGACGGAAGAACTACGCTCTGCTACTTTGCTGCGATATCCACTGCGAACCTGAACTACGCTTTCCTACTGTCTCCGAAATATTCACTGCCAACCTCTGGATTCTATACTCGAAGACGACTGTCATGAAAATGTCTAACATTACGTTCCTTCGTTCCATCAGTTCAGACCTTCATAGGTAGGACCAGCCTTGCCATATATATATATGAGGTAAAATGAGTTGGCATCCCCCTTTTTATTAAACAGTTTTAGTCACGTTTTCTTTAATAAGACCTTTGTTTTTTCGGCCAGTAAGTGGGTAGGGATGTCTACTCAAACTTTTGTAGCCACTAGATATGATGTTTATTGCAAAAAGAAATATATATGGGTGATTCTATGAAAACTCAGCCAGTGGTGACATAGGCACCATTTCAGATTCTGATGAAAATTTAGTATGTTGTACTCACCTATGAGAAACTAAAACGCCTAAAATTTTAGTTTTCTTAAGCTCTTAGTTCAGAAGTTATGGCCTCTTGAAATTTGGTGTCAATTTTGGCTGATTTCAAAATAGTTTGTCAACTTTGGAACTTCATAACTTTACATTTCAAGAAGATACAAAGTTGTTAATTGAAAGTCATATCGTAGTTTTAGGAAGGTATGATTTTAGGGTTTTAAGTTTCACATGAGTGGGTACCAATATCTGAGATCCTGCACATAGAAATTTCAGAAATTTGTTCCAGTTGATATGGAATTTAGCCATTTTAGAGGGCGGGGGGGTTATTTAGGTCTATATATGTTTCTAGAATTGATTTTTTATTAATGCGATAGTTTTTTATCACTTTAAACGTTATTTTTAATAGATACTCGTATTTGAGTAGACGACGCATTTATTTATTAAATATTATATTTATTTATTTTCGTCTACCAGCCTGAATGTTCGAGAATGTGATTTCACGAACATTCAGTATGTAAGAGTATGTTTTTAATTCATTTTGTATTATATATATATGTATATATTATTGTTCTACGTTATTTATATAGACAAAAATATTTAAATAAATGGTCTGTTTATAATAAACAGTATTAACAACATTTACCGGTCTGAATGTCTGAGAAATTTCATAGAAAATATGCGTCCTTCGACAGGAATCGAGCCTGTATCCTACACGGAGCAGTTATATAGCCTGATTTGCTATACCAGTTTAGCTAGGAAGGAAGCGTCTGGTTATCAAGGTCGATTTACTGTTTTTAACTACAAATTTCGCATGATTTCTTTCGAACGTCCATATCTGCTCGAAGCGTATCTTAACGTAAACAAATGACATCATATATTATGAAATGGACTTAGACCGACAAGTATTTTAATGTACTTTATTGTTTTACGTTATTTATATAGACACAGCATATATATATATATATATATATATATATATATATATATATATATATATATATATATATATATATATATATACACACACAAATATTGAAGGTTGTTCTCAACGGATTCTCCTCCAGTTCCTATTCCACGAACGCAGGTGTTCCTCAAGGATCCATCCTGGGCCCTACTCTATTCCTTATCACTACAATTTACTCCTGCCTCAAAAACAAATCTAGTGTCGCTGACAAAACTAACCTGGCCGTGCGTCTCGAAAAGGACCTCCAATCGGTCGTGAACTTGAGCAGGAATTGGCTGGTCAACTTTAATGCCTCAAATCAAAACTGCTCTCTATTAATCACCACAGAGATCCTTCCCTGCCCTCCATTAGAATGTCTGAGGCTCAACTTCTCGAGAGCACCTCAATGCGGCTGCTCGGTCTCACGTTGACAGCAGACCTGTGATGGAATAAATACATTGAGTCAAATGCTTCGTCCACAGCAAGGAAAGTTGGCTCCCTGTGCCGCGCCAGGAAATTTTTTCTCCCAGGAATCGATCCTTCAGATCTACAAATCAACAATTCGTCCTTGCATGGAGTATTGCTGCCATATATGGTCTGGAGCCCCTTCTGTTTGCCTCGGGGTTCTTGATAGGCTCCAGAGGCGGATATGCAATATAATTGGCCCTGCTCTGACATCTCGTCTACAGTCACTTTCTCACAGACGCGCCGTCGCCTCTCTCTGTCTTTTTTACAAATACTTCGCTGGTTCTCAGAATTCATGAATTCAAGCGCCCTTACGAGGCTGGCATCCCACTCTCACACTTTCACTGTTGAAACTATTAAATGTAGCCGCCTCTTCTACTCCAATAGCTTCATATCTCGCACCTCTCGCCTGTGGAACTCCCTTCCCTATTCCAGTTTCCCTGAGAGCTATAATCTCCAACTATTCAAATGTAATGTCAATCGACATCTCCAGTTGTCTTGATTTATCCATTATCCTTCTCCTCATCCTTTCCTCTATCACTCCTATCTGATCTTGCTCCAAATCTTCTGTAACCCCTTGCGTCCTAGTGGTTTCCCGCCTTGCTTGGGGTGAAACGCTTAAATAATGCATAATATATATATATATATATATATATATATATATATATATATATATATATATATATATATATATATGCATGTATATGTCTATGTATATTCCATAAGTAAATGGACGGCTCCACTATCTTAGAAGTAGGTTATAAATATTAATATTTAAATTTTACAACTGTCAGTTTTCTATTTGTGTCTGACAGTTGTACCAAACGCTGAACATATATATATATATATATATATATATATATATATATATATATATATATTAGTATAAATTTTAGCTATGTTACTATACATTGATCAGTCTTTTATTTACACAATCACTCACTGTGCATATATATATATATATATATATATATATATATATATATATATATATATATATATATTATATTTGTGTGTGCGTATTCAAACATAAATAAAAGTACAAGTTCTGTTTCCTTTCGTAATAAATGATCTATTCAATTGATCGAGGAAAATTACGAAAATGACAACGTTTCAAAAAAAAAAAAACAGCAAATAATATTGACGCGTAGTGATATGGTTTTGCCCAAACCGAACATTACCTCGTTTGTTGTTCGACGAAGAAACGTTTTCTAACTTATTCTGTTCACGAAATTAGTTCCGAATTTTTTTTGCCACCTCTCTTTAAGCGTTTTACTTTTTCTCTTTGGCTTCGTTTTTCCTCGCCCCAAACATTACCCATATTCGCACACATCGAATTTCATCTATTGCATATGTAATAATACCTTCCCGACACTGAATAGAAGGAAAAGAACGCGGCAAAACACCGTTCCTTGGTGAAAATACACTGAATAACGTGTAATGTGTAAATATATGCTAGTTTTGAGGTTGTCTGATATTTTGTATGCAATTTTATTCTAGCATAGGCAGCAACAATAGAGCTGACAAGGAGGACTATAAAGAGGAATAAAGGAATGATATTAACCGGAAGTCGAATGAGTAAAGAAAAAAAAGAAGTAGTAAAAATGAATAAAGATGAAGGAAAAGGAACAAATGGTCCTGGAATAAAAAAAAAACAAAAAACAAAAAAAACAGAAGAAAAAACGTGAACATTAAAAGAATGCCTAAGAAAATGGAAGATATATATTCATATATATATATATATATATATATATATATATATATATATATATATATATATATATATGATGAGGTAAAATGAAATGAAGAAAAATGTAACAAAATGTAGAACTTTTTACTGATATATGTGTGTATGTGTGAATGAGGAGTATCTGTAGGCATATTTTAGGAAGGAAACTATAAGAAAAAAGAAACAAACTCCATAAACGAGAGAAAAAAATGGAAACCTTTTGTTGCCTATTCAAAAAAAAAAAGACGCCGACGAGTAAACATCCACAGGCACACACACACACACACACACACACACACACACACACACACACACACACACAAACACACACACACAAACAAAACACACACACACACATATATATATATATATATATATATATATATATATATATATATATATATATATGTATATATTACTTACCCTCTCTTCTTCAATATTAGGTATTGTAAGAAAAATAAAAATAAATTTTAAAACTCTCCCTTCCATCTCTAAACTTGACCATGTTTCACACACTATTCATCACCACCCTCTATGTCACCTTATATAAGCTTAATACCGTCCTTCAAAAGTGTAAATTTTAAATTCATTTTTCACCTTTAAAGTGAAGTCTGAAGATCCAGAGAAAAATAAAATCTCTGGTGAAATATATTATAACAAATGGAGCCTTAAAGTGGTCTGTTTTTCTTTAAATTAAATTATTCGCTCTGACTTAACATTGAGCTCTCAGGATTTCATCCTCCTTGGGATTATCCATACGGATTACCAAGATTTTCGTTATTTAAATATATATATATATATATATATATATATATATATATATATATATATATGTGTGTGTGTGTGTGTGTGTGAAATTTAAGATAGAACTAAAATATATCTGTAGTGTAAAAGGACAATATGAATAAAGACATAAGGAAAACTTATCTTAGTCGATGCGTTTCGTCTCCTGAAGGACTTTATCAAGGCAAATGTAAGGAGTATTTATGAACAAAAGCAAAATTGATACGTTTTAATATATTTTTAATTTTAGAGACGCTAAAAAATATTAATCTGGTTAACTGAAAAGTGCAGGTAAATTATGGAGAACACTAAGTGACGTAATTTAATGTCGCATAAAAAAAAGAGAAAATGTGCATATATAAATAGTCAAGTCAAAAACACACCACAGGTTGTCTGAAAATTACGTTCAAGTATAGAACAGACTGCCGCTGCTTATTGATATTGATATCACTTTATATATATATATATATATATATATATATATATATATATATATATATATATATATATATATATATAAATTTGTCGAGCCTAGAATAATCCTCATCAGAAAGCACTGGACGGTTGTTTCGTTCTATTTCTGGGTTTCATCAGCAGTGGGCATCCACTACCGAGAATCGATCAAATCCGGACCGTTTCGATACAACGGAAACGTCATACTAACTGTGCCACATCGGTGACGAAGAAGACACGAACTAGACTCGATATAGCACCGCTACTTACTCAGTTGCGCAGCGTACTCATCGGAACAGTATCCCAAGAGCCACATCTGCTTTTTTATCCTTAGCTGCTCCACCGCAGAGCATTAGCTGGATGTGGACCTCAACTCTTACGGTACAAAGGCGAATTTGAAACGTCTCAAATTTGATCTGAAAACCTGGGAAGCCCAAGTATCAAACCGAAAGGAGTAGCGCAAAACATGTTTCGATAAGTTAAAGGGTTTTGAAGCTACTAGACTTAAGTACCGTGATCAGCTTTGTCAAGATCTGAAGCAGAGAAACCATCAAAATCCTGCTTTAACAAATATCATCTGTCAGTGTGGCTTTGTCGCCCACGACAAGGCTGGGCTTGTATCACACTTAAGAAAGCACAAATTAAATATGTCTTTTCCTTATCTAATTTTTTCCACAGTAGCCCCGACTAGCATGCATATGTGTAAAACGAAAGGCACCATCCTATGCTGACCCTTATTTATCGTTCAGGATAGGAGAGTCCACCATATATATGTATATAATTTCTATATATATTATTTATATATTACATATGTGGGATAGTTATTGGAAAGCGCTCAATATCGGTGATAGAGCTAACATACTTAGTTGTATTAATGTGAGTTTATGAGCCGAGGTTTCACGCCTCTGCGATCGTCAGACAAACTCTCTCTTTATATATGATACCAAAATGTAATTAGTAGGGTTTATTCCAAAGAGGACTTTTCAGTTCAGATGAGATCTCAATGTATGATACAGAGCAAATTATAAGAATAATTAGGAAAAAAATCTTAAAAATCCATCGTCTGTAATAAATTTATTTCGATGAATATAAGCATATTCAACTCATTAGAGCGGCTACATTCTATGAAATGAATTCAAGATATTCTAGAGAGAGAAACACACACACACACACACACACACACATATATATATATATATATATATATATGTTATGGTCGAACACAGGTATGGAATAACACAGATATATTACAAACAGGAATATATACAGAGAAGTAGAAGTGTTAGTATGAACAATCAGGTTTAGTAGAGAGAACAATGTAGTCTCGACCAGTATCACTATTCAAATGTCTTGCAGTAATTGAATGAACGCGACTCTTCACTCGACTTTAACTACTGACTCGACTTGAACTACTCCTGAGGCGCAGTTTTATTAAGTATGGAATAGTCCATTATTATTATTATGGGTAAGATCCAATAACAATATATATATATATATATATATATATATATATATATATATATATATATATATATATATATATATATATATTACATTATGAAGGAGAGAACAGAAAAGCGTTAATATAAAGGGTTAGGGAAGGACAGGAGATAGGAAAGTAAGATTTAAAACAGAACTACAATAAAGAGTCAATTAAATTTCACAGAAGAGGTTAAAATGGTATATATATATATATATATATATATATATATATATATATATATATATATATATATATTTGGAAATTTCTGAAAACCATACCATGGGCGGACACAAGTCTTGTGGAGTGAAATTGGGTAGACGGAACCCTTACGCGCTGTCGATAGCTATGCTAGCAGGAAGTCATCGTGACCGAGGACTTGAGCCTTCTGGCCTTGTTCAGATTGTTGATCATGTTAGATAACACGCTCTTTCCCAGAAACTGTAACTAAGGTCTGCTCAGCATAGTTGCAGTATAAACCGCAGGTGGTCTCTGAGGGTGTTGAATAAAAACAAATGTGCCTGAGCAACCTCTGCCACAGGGATTGGCTAGCCGCCCTAATAAGACGGGTATGCTCGAATACGATTGGCCAGCTAATATGTATGTATGTATTTCTTTCGTTCACATGGCCGAGTGGTGAGATCGTTCGCTTTCTGACAAGGAGAGCCGCGTTCAAATCTCACCATGGTCAATTTTTCAGGAAAATGAATTTTTGAAGTTATCTGTCTAGGCGAGACGACCCCAGTGTGGAAAGTGCCTGAAAACAATACCAGAAAGTTAACCCAATACTTGTGAGTGAAATTGGGTTGACGGAACTCTATGGGTAGCCGTCGATGGTTGTACTAGCTAGTCCCAAGTCATCGTGACCGAGGATTTGATTGCACTAAGGTCCGTAAGGTCCGTAGTATAAACCACATGTAGACTCTGTGGGTGTTGAACAAACACAGATGTACCGGAGCAGGCATTTACAACAGGGATTGCTAGCTTCCTTAGTAGATGCGTATCCTCAAATACGGTAGCCAGCTATTATGCCTGTATGTATTTATGTCTCTGCGCAGGCAACAAAACATCTTCAGCGTTTTTCATTCTCTTTTTTTTTTTAAATTTATATGTCCGCACCATTTGATTTGCGTAATAATTTTTGTTAACGCATTATTTTTTTTAGGTTTTCCCGCGCGGATATTTTTTTTTCTATTACACACCCTGTTTCTTTTCTTTTTTTTCTTTCGCCTATCGCAATTCTACGTGCGAAATTGTCAATCACTATTTATTCATTGGCTGATTACAAACAAGCAATTTTTGCTCTGCTCTACTTGTAATAGTTCCGATTCGGGAAGACCCAGTTTGGAGATGGCTTACTAAACAACGGAAAATGAAAAGAAACCTTTCAACAAAAGAAAACTGTGAACTGAGGAATCCAAATAAGCAGAAAACATATTGAGAAAAAAATAAAAAAATAAAAAAATTATGGGATGTTATATCGGCTGTAAAATATTCTTTATTTATTGCTGCAACGTTTTCTTTACTTCTTTCTTCCTATCTTTGAGCTGACATCTTTTACGTTTCTCTTTCTTTTTTTTTTCTTTCTTTCCCAAATCATGTTTACTTTTATTCTTTCTTATTTATTTATATTTTCTTTTTTCTCTTTCTGACTTTCAAAAACTGCAATATATCATAACCATGAGCATTCTTTCTACTTTTTCGAATTTCTGTCATTCATTTCCATAATTGTAATATCTTTTTTATTCGTTTCTTTTTTTTTCGTATCCCGAGCGTCATTCTTTCTTTTCTCTTTGTATTTTTTCTTTTTCCTTATTTTCTTTCTGAAGCCTCAATATGTCTTATGCTTTCTTTCTTTCTTTCTTTCTTTCTTTCTTTCTTTCTTTCTTTCTTTCTTTCTTTCTTTCTCAAATCATATTTCCTTTTATCCTTTCTTATTTATTTACGTTTTCCTTTCTTTCATTCATTCTTTCTTTCTTTCTCAAATCATATTTCCTTTTATCCTTTCTTATTTATTTACGTTTTTCTTTCTTTCTTTCTTTCTTTCTTTCTTTCTTTCTTTCTTTCTTTCTATCAGAAACTGCAATATATCATATCTTTTATCCTTTTTGTTCCTATCTTGTAATTTTGAATATTGTTAACGTCACCCTTTATTTTTTCGTATTTCTTCCTTTGTTTTCCATAATCTTCTTACTTCTTTATTCGTTCTTTTTTCCGTATCCTGAGCATACATTTTTTGTTTATTTGTATTTTTGTTTCAATCTTAATTTATTTCTCAAGCTGGGAATATATCATCTTTGTTTTCTCTTATTTTAATTTTTCATTATGTCGGCATCCTCCGGATTTACTTTCTTTCTTTCTTTCTTTCTTTCTTTCTTTCTTTCTTTCTTTCTTCTTTTTTCTTTCTTTCTTGCTTGCAAGGTTATTGCCATAATCCTAATATTTCCTTTCTTCTTTATTCGTATTTGCCTTCCTCTTTTCTTTCTCACTTTTTCTCTGAAGCCAGATTAAATAATTTATATTTTCTGTTCCTTTTAATTTTCCATAATTTGAGCGTACGTCTTTCTTTTTTCGTCTTTCTTTCTTTCTTTTCCGAAATCATAATATGCCCTTTCTTTTTTCTTTACTTATTCTTTTTTCCTATCCTGAGAGTCCATCTTCTTCTTTTATTCGTATTTTTGTTTCTCTATTTATCAACTTGGTTTTCTCTTATTCTTTTTAATTTTCCATTGTAATTCCATTCGTAATATTTCTATACATCTATATTCGTACCTGTCCTTCTTTTTCTTAACTGAAATAGGATTATTTAATGTTTCATATTGTGAACATTCTTTTTTCTTTTTTAATAATTCCTTCTTTCTTTTTTAAAAATACTTTCTTTCTTTAGTAATTCTTTCTTTCTTTTATTTTTAATTTTTTTCTTTCTTTTTCATAAATCTTTCTTTGTTTATTTTCATAATTCATTCCTTTTTCCTAATTCGTTCTTTCTTTGTTTCAAAATTCTTTCTTTCTTCTTCTCATAATTCTTACTTTCTTTTTTTCAGAATTCTTTTTTTTTCATAATTCTTTCCTTCTTTCTTTTTACGTAATTCCTTCTTTTTTTCATAATTCTTTCTTTCTTTCATTCGTAATTTTTCTTTCTTTTTCATAATTCTTTCCTTCTTTCTTTTTTCATAATTGTTTCTTTTTTTCTTTTTTCATAATTATGTCGGCATCCTCCGGATTTTCTTTCTTTCTTTCTTTCTTTCTTTCTTTCTTTCTTTCTTTCTTTCTTTTTTCATAATTCTTTCTTTCTTTCTTTTTTCTTAATTCTTTCTTTCTTCTTCTTCTCGTAATTCGTTCTTTCTTTTTCCTAATTCTTTCTTTTTCTCAGAATTCTTTTTCTTTTTTTTTCGTAATTCCTTCGTTCTTTCTTTCTTTCTTTCTAAAATCACAATATATTCTTTCATTATTTCTTATTCTTTCCTAAAGCTAAAATTCCATTTATTTATTCGTATTTTTCTTCTTTTCTAAATTTATTTTCGAAACTGTAAGATGCCATATCTTCTTTTTATTTCTTATTTCTCATACTATGAGCGTCCATCTTTCTTTCTTTCTTTCTTTCTTTCTATCTATGTTCAGAAGATATTTTTTGTGCTTACTCGTACGGAAGCCATTATCAAACTCTGACACTCGCTCACTGACTTTCCACAGCAGAAGCTCTCTTTTCTTTTCCTCGTCCATTTTTCTGTGTCTTTTCTATTACATTATAATTACGTCTATATTTTTCTTTATTTTTGAATATTTAACATTATTTTTCCTGCTTTCGTCTTGCTCTTTCATCTTCCTCCATTTTAGCCGACACTATCTCCTTGTCAATCATCTCATTAACTTCTTTCTGTCCTTCATTTTGTAGAATGTTCAGTCAGCATTTCTTTTTAATGGAACCAAATATTTCCAGTGAACTACATTCGATCTCCTAATTTACTTTCCTGTCTATTTTTTAAAAAAAGAACTCTTTTAATCATATGTATTGAACACAACACGAAACAGGAGGACATTTGTCCAAGTTGGAACAGCTTATGTCACTTGAAAATATGCATTTAGCCAACTTTCGCCAGTACTCGAAATCAAGAACCGATGAAAAATACGCAATTCCCTTAGACCTCAGTAATAGTTATTAATTTCTTGACGTCAGAAAAATGATAGCAAATTTGGTTCTTCGCTTCTTATTAAGTTTGCAGATGTTAATCGTTAATTATCTTCCCAGTTATTATTAATGTTGGACACTGATCTTTCACGAAGTCGGTGTGTTCGTCTCCCGGCTTCGTACATCTTCCATAATGGTAATTTTCTAACTGTAGCTTAGACGTGGCACAAGCATGAAAATCTGGAGCACCAGTGAGGATCGAACTCACGGAGGCAAGATTGCTAACACCATGTCGAAGTGCCCTGGTGATTTTCTAAGCTTGGCACAGTATTAAGGTATGAGGATCGATCCCACAGCTCAGTCGCAATTGTTCTAGCGAGACAAGCTTTGCCAACAATTACACCACGTCGATCGAGGGGAGGCTCTATGATTTTCTAAGCGTAATTTTCAAACCTTAGCTTACATGTGGCACAAGGCCGAAACTTGGGAGCACCCACTGCAGATCGAACTCACTGTTCTGTCTTAATTGATCCAGGAAAACAACATTGCTAAGCATTACAGTGCTTGGCTTAAATGTGGCACAAGGCCGAAAATATGGGTCAACAACTGAAGCTCGCTACCCAGTTTACCGAGACAAGCTTGCTAACCATTACAGAACGTCGAGGTGTCCTATGGTTTGTGTGACACAAGGCCGAAAGTATGGAGCACCCAGTGAGGATCGAACTCACTACGCAGTCGTAATTGTAACAGCGAGACAAGCTTGCTAAACTTGCACCACGTTGAGGTGCTCCTATGAGTTTCTAAGCGTAGCTTTTGATGGAGACCAAGGCCGAAATTATAGCATACATTGTAAGGATCGAACTCATTTCTTAGTCGTAATTGATCCAGCGAGACAAGATTACTGGTGATTTTCTTAGCTTGGTTGAGATGTGGCACAAGGCCAACAGTATGGATCACCTAGTGAGTCGTAATCTAGCGAGATAATCTTGTCAACCATTACACCACGTCTAAACGTAGCTTAGACCTGGCACAAGGCCGGGCGTATGGATTGAACCCACTACTCAGTCGTAATTGTTCTAGCGAGACAAGCTTGCTAATCATTACATCATGTGGAGGTGACCAACATCTCTCGTGGTAGAATAGCCCGTTCCTGCGTTAACTTTACAGTAATATTCATCCAATATATAGCCAGAAAGATACTCAAGGTAGAGTGTTAATGACTGAGGTTAGTGAAACTATCGTAAAAGGAAGTAGATATTTCGAGGGAGTCTAGGATGATTAACGATTGTCCATAGATTTGAAGAGGCTAAGCGTGTAGTTCTCTAGAAAGCAACCTCGGGGGAGTTGGTGCTACAAAGTAGCGATTCTTGGGAAGAAGCTGCCTGATTAGAAAGTCTTTCTTACCAATGAAAGATATTTAGAATGAGAATGATTGAAACCTTTAGACTTAGCAAGTAGGGCTTTAGCTGCAAAGGTTTGAACTATTGGCTCTACAGAATGGAACTCGTCTGAAATTATACCATGGAATCATTGACAAAATAGCGATAGGCTTACGATATTGCACCTGTTGGAAACGAGCTGCAGATGGACGATTAAACATCCTACACGCTGCGTAAAAGATTTTTTCAAGACTGGAAAGAGAAGATCTCAAATATGCCAACACCGTTTTTGGTCTGATCTTACATTTAGTAAAGATAAAAAAGAAGGAGTCATACCTGTTGAAATTCAGCAATCGAACTCTGATCTCTTTTAATGTTGTATATTATCTATTTTTCACATTTTATAATTCTCAACTTTCGAGAAATTATTTTAGATTCCCTGAGCTAAACAATCGTCGAGGTGAGATACTTTGTCCGTAAGTAGATTTTCACGGTAGGCAGAGTTACAAAACAGTGTGTAACTCCTCTCCGTGTTACAAGATACTGATGCACTACAGTAAATCAGGTGGTAAACTAACCTCATTGCCCGTTCCTGCGTTAACTTTACACTAATATTAATCCAATACATAGCCAGAAAGATACTCAAGGTAGAGAGTTAATGATTGAGGTTAGTGAAACTATCGTATTTCGAGGGAGTCGAGTATAATTAACGATTCTCCATAGATTTTAAGAGGTTAAGCGTGTAGGTCTCTAGAAAGCAACCTCGGGGGAGTTGGTGCTACAAAGTAGCGATTCTTGGGAAGAAGCTGCCTGACTGGAAAATCTTTCTAATCAATGAAAGATATTTAGAATGAGAATGATTGAAACCTTTAGACTTAGCAAGTCGGGTCCTAGCTGTAAAGGTCTGAACAGTTGGCTTTACATAATGGAACTCGTCTGAAATTATACCATGGAATTAGTGGCAGAATAGCGATAGGCTTACGATATTGCACCTGTGGAAAACGAGCTGAAGATGGACGATTAAACATCCTACACGCTGCGTAAAATATTCGGCATACATGAACTGAATATCTATGTTGACGTCCTTGGTGTGACGATAAACTACATCCGGCAGCAAGGCTTCTGAACGGCAAGGCGGGGTTAAGAAACGTAGAACCACGTCTTCGTTGTTGTTGTTCCCAGGTCTACTTTGACCCAGGTTGGTAGCACCTGTTAAACTCCCGGTTATGGGCAAATAGCTAATCCCCAAACTGGGGTCAAAACACTATGAAAGTATAAAAATAGATGTTATAGTGAAAATACCAGCAATACATTTTGAAAAAAAATATTTACCAGTAATAGATTTGACTATCGACAAAAACCTTCTTTAAAAAATACGCCAATGAAACCTAAACTATAAACTGCTTTCTTACAAATACATATTCTTTTCATATGAACCTATCTTAAAAAACTTGTCGGCATTTTATAATCCATTGAGGTTGATATAGCGTAAAACAAAATCAAACCAAACCAAACTATCAGTTGAATATTTCTAAAAGAAAATATTCTTCTGAAAACGGAGAATTAGACTTCTTAATTCCACTGTCATCGCTCTTTTTAGTATCGAAGGGATTTTCTATCCAAACCTTTTGTTTATGTTTGTGTGTAAAGTTAGTATTTTGATTGCATTATTATATCTTCTAGTTACACGTACTACCCATTTTTTTACTCGTTGCTCTTGGTTAATTGATTGACTGATTCACATTTTACAGCTTATCAACCTTTGCCATGATATTTAAAACAAGAAAATATATTTAAATTACAAGAATTTTTTTTGAGATAACACTATACTGACACAAGTTTTACTAATTAACCTATAGCGAGAGAAGATGTGAATTCCTACCTTTCTCAAGGTTATTAGCGCATTAGTGAATACAACGGACCCAACTGGAATTGGAACTCGCTTATCCGATTAATAATTCGGAGACATTATCCATTACACTACCCGATAATTTTAGCACCAGATATTCACATGCATTCACCCATGATACTTAGATATTTCTGAATATGTTAGGCGCCATAATAGCTTAGACATTTCTGAATAAGTTAGGCGCCACGATAGCTTAGATATTTCTGCATAATTGAGGCGCCATAATAGCTTAGATATTTCTGAATAATTTAGGTGCCACGATAGCTTAGATATTTCTGAATAATTTAGGTGCTACGATAGCTTAGATATTTCTGAATAAGTTAGGCGCCATGATAGCTTAGATATTTCTGAATAAGTTTGGCGCCATAATAACTTAAATATTTCTGAATAAGTTAGGCGCCACGATAGCTTAGATATTTCTGAATAATTTAGGCGCCATGATAGCTTAGATATTTCTGAATAAGTTAGGAGCCATGATAGCTTAGATATATCTGAATAATTTAGGTGCCATGATAGCTTAGATATTTCTGAATAAGTTAGGCGCCATAATAGCTTAGATATTTCTAAATAATTTAGGCGCCACGATAGCTTACTTATTTCTGAATA